CAGAAGCGGAGTACATGGCGTTAATAGAGGCAACACAAGAAGCGATTTGGTCCAAGACGTTTCTATGCGAGCTTGGCGAGATGAGAGACGAGGATCCGGTCAGGATTTTTGAAGACAACCAAGGCTCGTTTGCACTGGCCAAGAATCCCGAGTTTCATAAACGAACCAAGCACATCGACATACGTTACCACCTTGTACGTGAGAAGGTCGAAGGAGGTCAAGTGATTTTGCTGTACTGCTCTACCAAAGCCATGAAGGCCGACATGATGACCAAGCCGATCACTGCAGCTCAGTTTGACTTTCTTCGTAAGATGTTAGGAATCAAGCAACCAATTACTGCCGAGTCGAGTGGGAGTGTTGTCGAAGAAGCGCCTCGTCATACAGACTAGTGGCGCAGAGAAAGCAACCGGTTTGTATCGATATTCCGGTGTGGACAGGCGAATGGCGGTAGTTGCGGTTTCATGGACTATCCAAGTAGTGAAGTATGCAGCGAAGAGGCTATCCACAAGCGCATAATAGTACGTAAATCCAGTAAAGAATTCAGAAGAATATTTGTTCGAGATAGGCTTAGAGGTAGCGCAGCGAACTAAGGCCCTTTAATATACTTACTCTGCATTCTGCCATCTAGTGCTCAAGTACCTTTTCGTTAAATAGTAGTCCACGTGCTTCACGGACCTCTCTTCGTAATTTCGTCACCTTAATGTTTCCCGATAAGTCGGTACCAATGAAGCGGTAGTCTATGACAAGACCTATGAAGAGGTAGCTTATGGAGAGGTAACTACGAAGAGGTAAGATATCGTAGCATCGGTATCTATGAACAAAAGAAGACTTTGTAAAGGAGTTCTTGATACACGCTGGCTGCGATGGAGGGATGAGCGATAATAGCTCAAGCTGTTGTCACCTGTGCTAGGGCTGGTGGAAGCGACCAAATATTGAGATCTCTTGCTGGATTAAGTAGAGTCAAGGGATTACCATATACATATCGATTAGAAGAGCCACGCCCTGAAAATATAGAATAGCTCATTTATGTCACGATAGAACAGTACGATTGACTCAGCACAACCGCGGGATTGGTCTTCAGCGCGAAGGAGCAAGGTCTCGCGGGTAACTAGCCGAAAATGATTTTACAGTGAGCGGAGTGACGGAGGTAACTATAGGATTGAATATCTCCCCTCACTACCTCCGGTAGAAGCTTTTATAGTGTAGACACAATAATTCCTTAGATCATATGCAAGGAATCGCAAAATGGGCCACCGAAGTGATTAGACTGCTCCCGAAATGGAGGCCGAGCTTATCGTCCGTCTTAAGCGAGCTGTAATTGAGGAAACCTGCAGAGTAATGAGTGCATAGAGTGGGGAAATCAGCCTCACAAATTCGTCGAGCTCTTGTAATTCTCTATTGAGGAGCTATCGGAAGGAGGTGACAAAAGATCGTCACACGTGTTGATTAGTGCACCTTGGAATTGACCTGGTTCTTAGGCCAAGTATGACATTACATGGTAATGGTTATACTAGTGGAGCCATGTGACATCATTGGCGCTTTATAGACTGTAAAGCCCAAAATTGTTTGGCGCAAGAAAATACTTTTTCTTACTCAGCACTGACTTCTGTGTGCTAGAAGGTAATGAAACATGGCGACTTGTGCACGCTTCTAATAAGCGATATGCAGCCACAATTTTGATGCAAACGACGATCTTTAAAAATATAGGTTTACGAACAGAAATTTGTTTGGTTTCTTTGGCCCTTGATAGCATTCATCAACCGCTGATGAGGGAGACAGCGATAGACTCCTCACAGCGGTAATTACTCCGACCAGGATGCTCTGGAAGTGGCAGACATACCAGAGGACTGTATAACGTACAAATTATGATCAATCGTCTGGCAAAGCAGCTGTCCAAGCTGCTTCGTTACTATCGAAAATTTCCTGCTATATATTCGACCTGAGTCGTGCAAAGCAAGCGACAACGGATGTATAGTTTGGTATGAATGTGTGGTCGCGTTTGAGTATGTTTGGTTATCAAAGGTGTAGAAAAGAAACTATCTTGGTATGGCATCGAGCTCTTTGCAATGAAGTGTGCCCTTAAGGTGCCCCTGATTTACCTTGATATATATATGAAATATACATATCATGCTTCGTTGTGCGTAGCAGCGTCGTTACAACATTTCTTATCGAAGGTAGAAAATTTTTTCTTTCGTCGAGCATACAATTTTGGGAATGCTTGAGCCGATGTAATTCTAGTGTGAAAGAGAGCGTCGCCACGTTTATAAGCCACTACATGTGACGTCCCGCAAACATCAACAAGGCTCAAGAACAATGCATAAGTCAGATGCAAAAATCACTGCATCGTAGAAAGCCTTGAAGAGTGTAGTGGACGCCGCTTTGTAAAGGTGTTCAGCCGCGCGTTTGCTTAGGTTATCATATTGCAAAAATTACTGTATTACAGCGCTTGCCTGCTTAACCTACATATGCTGATTTTTAAATATGGGACCTCTTGTCCAGAAAGTGGTCGATGAACGCGAAAGTCACCTTGAAAAAGTCATGCAGTAATATGAGGATTATATTCAGGCGATTCAACACGTTCAAAAAGGGCGATCATTAATGTACGCATGGGGGAGACGCGTCAATTAGTGAACTATCGTTGCATTGATCGGCGTACTTTGACTATTTTGGTGGGGCTGACAGAACGCTCTTATCTAGCGTTTGCTTCGTTTTTTGTCTTCCTAACGACGCATTTGGTTATCCCGGTATCAGGTTATTCGTTGTGGTCTGGGTAAGGTGAGTCATTTCGCTTTTGTCAGCGATATTGTCAACAGTGACGAAAAGCTTGATCTCAGCGGATTTTTTGCCAACGCGATTTTATGGTGTTCACTGTTTTGAATCGACATCTGCTTTATACAGCAAATGCTGGCTTATTTTGTAATGGCAGCTTAAATTAAAAATATTATATTCTTCGCAGTTTTACCAAGACGTAGGTCTACGGAACGCGGTAAATGCATGACCCGCAAAGCTACCAGGGTGCTTCTATTTATTGGACTTTGTATTGATTGAATCACGCACTGCAAGACTCTTCAAGTTTTACTCCATACTTTATTCAGATTTGGTGGAACTCCACGCTCCCTTGACAATGCGCTTTAGTCGCTTCGGTCATGCAGAGGGAGCGGATGTCGACACAATATACTTGCTATGTTTTTATCGTGCTACACTTAATAGCACAACTACGAGCGTTTTTGACACGACATCATGTGATGAGGTCACAGCTCTATCTTTGAATGCTTGGATGTGTAGAAGCAACATGCAGATGTCGAATGCTAATCGAACACACACTAGTTTGAAGGGATTGAAAGCTATTCTTTAATGTGCTGACTTATCTAAACTTGTAGTATATATAGCTTTAACGCGAAGTTGCGACCTTGCTACATGCAATCGTTAAACAGTCTCAGCTAAAAAGGAATTCTGTCAAACTTTCAAAATACCCAACATATCCTGTTATTCACTAGAGCCTGTTCGAGCCATAGCACGGTTTTGTTGATTGATCACATGTTGGCGACACCAATATCACGACTTATCTAGATGTGAAGCATATCATTGATACAAAGCAACGTCTCCACAATCCTTTGCAGCTAAACATCTTCATTTTGGTAGTAAAGATACCGCTGGAGTCGTATCAGGTCTATCGGTACGATCGCATTAGAGAAATATCGTGTATTAGTGGAGATAGCACGTTAATTATCGGAGATAGTCGGCGTGCCCTCAGTCTAAACTTGCCGATAAGATCAGACAAAATTGCGAAGAGCAATTCATATTCACTATGAGGTGGGGCTCTATCTTGATTCATGCTAGAGACTTGGACAGTAGCTATAAAAGCTGGACTACTTACACCAAGAATTGGAGGTGGTGACCCTCCACCTTAACGTCTACGTCGTGGTTTGTACTTCGAATAGTCAACGCTCTAATCTGTCTCTGATATGCTTGCAACTTTTCATCCAGCTGCTGCTGATTTATACTTTTCAGGGGTGGTGGCGTAACATGTCAAAATGCTCTCGTGAGAGTGTAACAACTTTTAAGTGCGCTTTATATCAGCAGGAAGCCCGTTAGCATCGGCTTGCAAGGGATCAGCCACCACATGACGAGCAGCTTCCGATAGATTATATGCAAGATTATGATGTAATCCGATTTGCAAAAGTCATCGCGATTACTGCGCTTTCAAGCTAGCTCGGCTTGCTGAGCCACATCCAGCTTATCAGTAACGTACTACAGGTCATTGTGAGCTCCACGTCAGGGCATCATGCCATTTTTTTACCACCAGAAAACTCGAAATCGGAGTGCGCAATACGTGCAAAGGACGCAGTGCGAAGTTTATACCTAAACATTGGTGAAGACGAAGGTGCCGAGTTAAACACTTTGATCGTTCTTATAACACATAGGCTTCATCACCTGGAATGACTTTACAGTCACCGACCGCTGGATCTATCGCTCGTTGAACCATGAAGAACGCTAGGATAAGAATCAGAATGCGTAGTAGCAGACACTTCAACGTGCAAATTGGAGGTATTTACTCAATGCACCGTGGGTACTCGTTGAACAATTAATTCGCACAATGTCTTGTAAAGAGAAAAAAAACGAGATCCCAGTGTGGCTCAAATTATAATTGTGGAATGTGTAATGTGGTACGTAAGATATTATGGCGGACGTACACATTACATTGAGCTGAGCTCAAAGAGGCAAAAACTCAGGCACTTTAAATTACGATGAGGGTTCGTATAGCTAAGATCCGTGGGACACGCGAGCTGCGCAACGCAGTACAGTAAAGCGTATATATATTATGTAAAGTCAATTCTGTTTATATATCAGAAAAATTGTTGCGTACTAGCTAGGCCAAAATAAAATGAAAAGAGGGCTCGTGCTTAGGTTTAAGGCTAAATAGAAATCTACACTATCTAAGTTTCTGATTATATACAAAGATCCACGAGAATCTTTAGTATATTTCTGCAACAGGAATTATTGTGCATCCTGCACGAACTTCTTTGGCTCAATGTGTGGTAATCATAAATGCACGGAGGACAAGAATGTGCGCGCCCACTTAATTTTTTGATGCTTGCACCATTCAAGCACGATCACACATTCATACCAACCGGTATCTGCTTGGATTAAAGCACAACCCATGAAAGTTTATGGAGCGTCATAGACGACATAGAAATGCCGATACTACTGCAACCACGCCAGAATCGGTGTACACATAATACTTTCTTTCATATCCCCTGAGGCCGCCTTTGCCGCAACCCAGTGTCCTTTCACATCTTGTTGAGGAAATTGAATCAGGGTAATGCGATATCGACATACTTTACACTATTACAACTCGGTTGTTGGCCGGGCCAAGCTACTTCCATCA